TGACAAAGCAACAGGAAGATAAATTGGTGAGAATTTTGGGTTTCTGTGATACATGGAGGCCAGAAGGAGATTATATGTCTCTCCCTGTTGTGAGTTCCTTCCTGTTGAGTGTTCGCCTGTTGTGGGGCTCCCATGTTATGTCTCTCCCCTGTTGTACGACTACTCTCTCCCCTGTTGTACGACTACTCTCTCCCCTGTTGTACGACATCTCTCTCCCCTGTTTGAGTCTGCACTGTTGTGTGTCCCCCATTCACTCTGTCTCCTTGTGCTGTCTTTCTTGTCAGTTCTCTCTCTTTCTCTCTCTCCCTTATATTGTTTACACTCAAGTGGGTACAGGATACAGGAAGAGACTTCTGTTGACTTCCGTTAGCAGGCTGAGAGCTTTCCCATCCCATTACTCACTAGTTTCCCCTGGGATACGACCCACAACCAGATATACAAACTCTGCTGGGTGAACAATGGTCTACAGTTAAGGATTGGCCCCTAGTTAATTCTCCCTGGAGAGGATACGAAGCTAGGCCAAATCGCTTGCAAAGCGCTGGTCGAGTGTGTTACCACAGCGCCACTGGGACGGTTGTGTGTCTCCCTGTGTATGTATGCCCGGGAATGTACTAATATTTATCATCACCTTATCAATGTTACGTTAACCAAAATTATAATGACAGGCCCTTGTGATTATCCTTTCATGCATATTATCGCCACTATCATCCCTCTATCGTCATCGGGTTTTACTGTCTACAGACATTCTGCTCTCCTATCTCACCCATCCTTTGAGATTTAACAAAGCAATTGGATTCCGTTTTGCATATAAATTGTCCTTCTATGCTGGAGGGGAGAGCATTCAAGAGCTTCTTGGGTTCGCTTTGAAGAACACACAATTGAGAACAGTGGAACAAGTTGACAAGCTGTTTGTTCTGATGATCTTCAGCGGCAAAACCTTGTTTGATGTATCATTGACCAAGTTCTCCATTTGTTATCCAAATAAACGTTCTAATCTTGTTCTTGTCCGTGGTGGTGTGAAGAACATTAATGCACAAGTTTTGTGACTTTCAGGCGTGGGTGAAGTGCAGACTTTTATTACATGCGAAGGAGAGAGAAAGTGGACCCATATTATATATATATTATATATATATATATATACTGCAGACCATCTGCATTCTGACTAGACTTCAGACTCGTATGGGCCAATAGGCCTTCTGCAGTTACCTTTGTTCTTAGACTGCACAATAAAATTACATTAGCGTGTTGTATCACGTACAGTCCTTAGATCTGTTCAAGAGGCCAACCGCATCCAGACGAGATCTCAGACCTGTCCTACAAGTCATCTGCATCCTGACTGAACCTGAGACCCATTCTACAGGCCATCCGCCTCCTGAATGGACCTCAGACCTGTTCCATCAGCATACGAACCCAAATCAGAGCATCTTAGCCCCTACCCCATTCACCCATCATTCTTGCGTCTCCTATCCCCTCTATAAACATCACACTCAATACAATACTGTGATGTATACAATACAATAATACTCAACAGGTTCTTACAACTTATATACCGTCTTTATGTTCTTAATCAACCCCCACTCACGTTACATACACATCCTTACGATCTAATGTTGTGATCCGAGGTGGATTCTGCCCTTCGAGGCCGGAGGTTTAAGGTGAGTCCTGCCCCCCTGCCATCCCTTCTGGGTTTAGCATTTTCTTTTGATACTTATGAGCGGGATACAGGGCGGTTCTTCTCATATAATACTGGGCGATGGCATCCCCGTGTTCCTACACCTTTTTGTGCGCATCAGCCTTTTTATTAATCACAAAGTTTTAATAAAAGTTTCAAAAAATCAACAATTGAGTAAATATTAACAAAAAATTATTTTCCCTCATTTTTAAGTCTGTTTTTTTTAATGAAGATAAAAGAACAATAACGTAGGCGGAGCACAACAATCTACCATCCATCAACAATGAGGGCTTCGTTCTGATAATCCTCCGACGTGTATTGTGTGGTAGGTGTAGAGTGTGTGTGTGTGTGTGTGTGTGTGTGTGTGTGTGTGTGTGTGTGTGTGTGTGTGAGGGGTCCAGGTGTCGCGTGGCGTGTGCTCCCTCATCTCAGGTGTCTCCCTCACAAACACACACACACACCTGTACATCTCCCTTACTCCTTCCTCTCTCTCCCACTTTATCTCAGGTAAGTTCTTTTCTCTTCGTTCACCTCAGTTTTATTCCACGCTACACCTGACTATAAATATATATATTTTCCTTTACCATACAAACTCTGCATCATTTTAAAGTAGCCACAAGCACATTGCCAAAATATTAGTGCTGAAACATATATATACAACTATTGCTAGAGAACGCAGCATTCTCGCAGCTAGAGAACTAGTGGCATCTAGTGCCACTTCTAGAAACACAAAATAAAGATTGTGCATGTACACGGAAATCTGCTACATAACTGGTCCCAGTAGCGAGGGTACTGGAAGGCGGGGCAAGAGACTGAAGGAACTGAATCTAATGGCACTAGAAGGAGTAATAGAAGAATCAAGATCCAAATATATATAGTCAAGGATACTGACGAAATAAAAACAAAATATTGAAATGTGGTGTAACGAGAAAATATACACATGGACAGGCAGATGACCATGGGAATATAAGAAAAAAATGTTGTAGTGCTAGATTTGTTAATAAATGTAAAGAGCTAGATAGTGGGGAGTAACTGAGGCTGTCTCCATTAAATAAATAATGAATAGCAGATAAGAAAAACAGCAAGTTGGTCGGGAGGTATTAATTGCTTCACAGTGAGACGACAAAAATGTGTAAACAGGAAACCAGGGACCAGATTCACGATGCAGTTAGGCAAGCACTTACGAACCTGTCCATATTTTCTCAATCTTTGGCGGCTTTGTTTACAAGTATTAAACAGTTAATAAGCTCCGAAGCACCAAGAGGCTGTTTATAACAATAACAACAGTTACTTGGTAAGTTTTCATGCTTGTAAACTATATAATAAATGTAACCAAAGCCGTCAAAGATTGAGGAAAGATGTACACGTTCGTAAGTACTTGCGTAACTGCTTCGTGAATCTGGTCCCAGGAGCTGAAGCTTCGTCCTGCAAACTCCGTCAGGCAAGATCAAGCACACACACACACACACACACACACACACACACACACACACACACACACACACACACACACACACACACACACACACACACACACGGACACACACACACTAACAAATCAACACTCGGGAGACCCTGGTGTGCCAGAGTGAGAGAAAAAAAACACGTACCAAGGAAAAAAAAAAAACACGGAGGAAATATGATCACCCAAAAGTTTGCGAAATTCTCCTGGTGGTCGCGACCAGGAATTGTATTTATTTTCACTTTTCTTCCTGAGTGAGTCTTTGTTAATGCTTCAATAATACTTATAATACTTTTATCATTACTACTCCTACTTCTTCTACTACTACTATTATTACTTACTAATATTTTAGTAGTTATTATTACTACTAATATTGCTACTACTTTTGCTTCTGTTACTATTACTACTACTACTTTTAATAGTACCATTATTATAATTAATATTAAATTCACTTACAGAGAGTAAACACACTAACGTCATGTGTCTATGAACAAATCCACAGGAGCCGTGGAGAGGGTTCGAACTCATATGCAGTGGGTGTTCTCACTCACACGCCCTAGTCATCTGACCATGTCGTGGCCTAGTTGGCTAGGGCGTGTGCTGTGGGAACACCCACCGCATAGGTTCGATCCCTCATCACGGCTCCTACGGATTTGCTCAATAATCTTATTATTATTATTACCTTCAACTATCATTTACTAGTAATTATAGCAATGATAATCTTGCAAACTACAAAATTAGCTTTTCTACAATTCCTTGAATTCCTTGAATTCCAAAAATTCTTTGAATTCTAAGAATTCTTTGAATTCCAAGAATTCTTTGAATTCCAAGAATTCTTTGAATTCCAAGAATTCTTTGAATTACAAGAATTCTTTGAATTCCAAGAATTCTTTGAATTCCAAGAATTCTTTGAATTCCAAGAATTCTTAGAATTCTAAGAATTCCTTGAATTCCAAGAATTCCTTGAATTCCAAGAATTCCTTGAATTTCAAGAATTCCTCGAATTCCAAGAATTCCTTGAATTTCAAGAATTCCTCGAATTCCAAGAATTCCTTGAATTCCAAGAATTCCTTGAATTCCAAGAATTCCTTGAATTCCAAGAATTCCTTGAATTCCAATTCCTACAATTCCCACGCACCAAACTAGAAGTGATTTATGTGGCTAACAGACAACTCTTCCATTTGCAATAATTGAGCAATTTCGACCATAAATCACATTCAAAATACGGAAAGTTATGAAGCTTGTTTAAGCAACAAAGTGGCTGGCAAAACCTTTCCTGAAACAGTTTAAATAAATGAATGACCACAAATGTTATACAATATATTTGATGCATAACCCACAACTCCTAAACGCTGAACAAAATATTCCTCTCAACCATCATAAGGTATAGACACCACCAGAGATGACTGGTAGTGTAACTGGAGCTATAAACTAACATTTATTCCTCCAAGGAGTGCCGGACCAACCGGGCTGTGGTGGGTATGTGGGCTTGCGGGCCGCTCCAAGCAACAGCCTAGTGGACCAAACTCTCACAAGTCAAGCCTGGCCTCGGGCCGAGCTTGGGGAGTAGAAGAACTCCCAGAACCCCATCAACCAGGTATCAACCAGGTAACTGACTGTGGGCCCTTGAGCGAATGTCCAGGCAGGGGACAATGAAGACATTTGTCGATAATGAAGATATCATTATCGACAGTGTCAAGCAGACAAAACAATGGGTACTTGCAACTTCTTATCATAATACTATATAAAACAACACTCCCTCTGGTTCGATAACTTAACAGATCATGCCACGCTATCATCAAAGGCTTTTTAAAATGCGAGTAGACTCTAGTATCTGATAACTGCTCACAATAGGAGACGGGGAGTACAATGCTGATAAACGCTCCAATTGTCCTCACGGCTGTATAAGGTCTTGTTGTGTTACATTATTAGGAGATGTGTGGTGTTCTAACATCTGGCCGTGCACACAGTATCCGGATGTTTCGTCAGTACCCGGACGTTTCATCAGCACCCGGAGGTTTCATCAGTACCCGGACGTTTCATCAGTACCCGGACGTTTCAACAGAACCTGCAGTAAGTGACCGAGTGAACAGAATCTGGCCGTGCCCACAGTACATAGTTGCTACTGTTAGTACCCATCACTTGCAGGTTCCTTTTTATTCTGTAAACTGTTCTGAAGCGCTAGGAAGGACGCTGAATGCGTCAGAAACCCTCTAACACACAGCATCTTCAAGACTCTTTCCAAGGAGTCAGACTCTTCCACTCACCGTTCAAGTTCCAACATGCTAATATTACGCGAAGTCACAAGGCGAGGAGCTAATAAGGACCACTGAGAAATTAGCAATGAAGCTATTAATTACGAGACAAACGGTATCAAAATGACGTTACCTTTCACTCACTCGTCTTCAGCACCATTAGGGTTCATAAGATGGCTAATATTAAGGGCGTCCCGTCCGAGTGGCTTTTAGATTTTTACAGGGATATTAATTTTTGCTTCATTTTTAGAAATATATTTTGACTATAATAACATCTTAAAAGGTAGTGAAGAATAAATAAATGCAAAGAGGGTTTATGATTAGAATGTTGAGAGAGAGAGAGAGAGAGAGAGAGAGAGAGAGAGAGAGAGAGAGAGAGAGAGAGAGAGAGAGAGAGAGAGAGAGAGAGAGAGAGAGAAATAACAACATTCGTATCGCATTATTCTCAGGAATGATGGAGATGAACGAGCTGACTTGTCCACTGTGTGACGAGAGGTACACCGATGCCAGGACCCCCCGTAACCTGGGCTGTGGCCACACCTACTGCACCTTCTGCGTCCAACAGGTGATTGCTAAGGATCGCCGCTGCCCTGAATGTCGCCTCATCTTCTCCTGCGCCGTTGCTACTGATCTACCTGTCAACTACCCACTGCTGAGAATGGCTAGGGGCTTCCTCCCGTCTGCGTCTCAGTCTGCATCATCATCATCTGCTGTCCCACCTCTCTCTGGACGAGAGATGGACGCCGGCCAGTGCCGTGCCCACGAAGCCATCATGTACTTCTGGTGCGACACCTGCAGGAAGTTTGTTTGTCGTGATTGTCTGGTCTTGGACCACAACGCAGTGCCTTTGGGAAATTGCAGGATCCTCTCTATTACTCAGGCCATCGAGAAGATCAAAATCACACAACTTGAGAAGTCCACCACCAAAGGTCAGTCCCTCAGAGATTTTAAGGATAGCATCAACAACTTCATATCAAAATTGGATGGCAAGAAAGAGAAATGCGAAGAGACACAGGAAAAACTTCGTCAAAAGCTCCAGGAAGAAGCTGACAAGGCGCAAGTTATCGAAATAGAGAAAAACGAGGCTTTTGAGAAGTTGACAGAGATAGACAAGTTGCTGGAGTCTCTGAACCAGAAGGAGAGCGCCCTCCTGGGGGCCAATACGGTGCAGGAGATCAGCGAGGAAGTACAGGCGTCCGGTGAGGTCTTGGATGTGGCGGAGATGTTTCAGACTCACGAGCGGCAGCGTCAGGTTCACAGCATCTCTACCATCCTCAACTATGGGAGGCAGGTGAGTATGCTTTCTCAACCACGAGAGACAGGTACATATTCAATCTCAACCACGAAAAAAAAAAGAATTGGCTTTTCTTAACTAATGATGACAGGAACTTGTCGTTCCTAATATAGTCAAATTGGCATAGCGGTTTCTCCTGATAATTACCTTACCTTGTCGTCCCACCACCTTGTAAGATATATACGAATCGTTCCTTAACCACGCAAGATATATACGTGCCCCACTCAACCACGTAAGATACAAGTCCCCATAACACAAGTCCGTCACTTCTTCTCAAGAAGTGATGGCACATCTCATCACTTTTTGAAAAAGAGTGAGCTCAGGAAGTATTCATCAAGTTTTATAAGTTGAGGACCTGAGCTGCCAAACTTACAGAGAGGACATTTCTCACCCAGTGCCTGGTGGTGGAGCTGGGGCAGGAGGAGGTGTACGCGGCGAGGGAGGAGCTGGGGTGTCCCCGACGCTGGGCCCGAGTCAGTCTTCACCAACACAAAGCTCATCTTCACGACCTCCGCGACACGCCGCCACCTCCACACGCCATCACCATCCCTGTGAGTTGTTGAGGTGATATAAGAGAGAGAGAGAGAGAGAGAGAGAGAGAGAGAGAGAGAGAGAGAGAGAGAGAGAGAGAGAGAGAGAGAGAGAGAGAGAGAGAGAAAGTGTTTATTTACTATTTGTATTCAGGATCGAGCTGTTAGCTCTTTGACCCCAACTTTCGAACCGTTGGTTGTCTATGTACCGTTCGTGTGTGCGAAATATTTAACATATGAACTGTTGACTGTTTCTGTGTTTACAGTGGGAATGTGTACGCAACCTGGTGTCTGAGGACTCTGCCACAGTATTCCTCGAGGTGGCGGTCGACGGGGAGCCACGAGGCCGAATCTACCTCACCATGCTTGGCAATACGCCCCGCGGCAGACAATTCGTCTACCTCTGCTCCGGGGAACGGAACCACTCCTACAGGAACAACAAGTCCCTCGGGGTCTTCAGGCTCGACAAACCAGGGGAATTCATCAGCATTGAGGGATGCAAGAACGCCGACGGTACTCCGGCGTCTGCCCTTGTGGATGGTATAACTAGCGGAGGACTCCACACCAGGCCCATCGTGCTCGGCCTGCTCTCAGGGCCCCCGCTGGCACACACACATCAGACGCTGTTTAATATCTGCCTCCAGGAGAAGCCCAACAAGAGCGACCTGTCTGGGTTCGGTCGTGTGGTGGGCGGGATGGAGATTCTGAGATCGGTGTCCAGACACGTTCCTGCGTCGGGTGTGACGGTGCGGGACTGTGGCCTGGTCATCCCTCTGTAGCCATATCTTACTGCACTCAAGTGGCAACTCTCCCAACTACTTAGCCGGCACACTGGAGCGGCAGCCTCACTTCTTGCAGGTTGGCGTTTAATCCTCGACCGTCAAACTGGTTGGGTACCATTCCGCTCCTCCGGTTTTCCTAAATTCTTATCCCCATATCCCTTCCAAGTGCTAGAATTAAACACCTCTTCACGTGTGTTAAGGTCGACGTAAACCTACTAAGCCCGTCCACATTATATCCACATAACGTCGCTTCAAGAATTCCCAGCATATCAAGACTGCAAATGCACAACCTGTGAATTATGTACAACTTTTGATAATGATCCAGGACGCCATTTTCTTTTATTTCAGATGTGTGGGTTGGGTGTCTACCAACTTTTACCAGAATGAGAGTCTGCACTAAATTACCGAGATCTTGTGCAGTGTTGCAGCTTCAGGTCTGGAAACAAGGCTGTTGATTCATGGAGTAAATTACCGGGTAATATAATAGACGCGGGGTCGAGAGATTGTTTCAAGCATAGGTTAGACATATATATATGTCTAACTCACATATATTATCACAATAAATGTGAATGGGTTTGGGTGGATATAAACAAGAGCTGCCTCGTATAGGCCAACAGACCCTCCGTAGTTTCCATAACATTTATATTCTTATACCTATGCAACAGAAAGAGGTTGATGGCCACAGACTGTTTCCTTATCCCTTACATCTCAAGACTGTTGCCTTATCCCTTACATCTCAGACTGTTGCCTTATTCCCTTACATCTCAAGACTGTTGCCTTATCCCTTACATCTCAAGACTGTTGCCTTATCCCTTACATCTCAGACTGTTGCCTTATTCCCTTACATCTCAAGACTGTTGCCTTATCCCTTACATCTCAAGACTGTTGCCTTATCCCTTACATCTCAAGACTGTTGCCTTATCCCTTACATCTCAGACTGTTGCCTTATTCCCTTACATCTCAAGACTGTTGCCTTATCCCTTACATCTCAAGACTGTTGTCTTATCCCTTACATCTCAAGACTGTTGCCTTATCCCTTACATCTTAGACTGTTGCATTATCCCTTACATCTCAGACTGTTGCCTTATCCCTTACATCTCAAGACTGTTGCCTTATCCCTTACATCTTAGACTGTTGCCTTATTCCCTTACATCTCAGACTGTTGCCTTATCCCTTGCATCTCAAGACTGTTGCCTTATCCCTTACATCTTAGACTGTTGCCTTATCCCTTACATCTCAAGACTGTTGCCTTATCCCTTACATCTTAGACTGTTGCCTTATCCCTTACATCTCAGACTGTTGCCTTATCCCTTACATCTCAAGACTGTTGCCTTATCCCTTACATCTCAGACTGTTGCCTTATCCCTTGCATCTCAAGACTGTTGCCTTATCCCTTACATCTTAGACTGTTGCCTTATCCCTTACATCTTAGACTGTTGCCTTATTCCCTTACATTTAAGTCTCAATATTAAGCCTAATTTCAGAAAACAATTGACGAGGTCAATTCCTCAGTGATTAATTTGCTAATCACATATTAATGATTAGTTTGAGTAAATTATTATTTATATAGTAAATTAAAATAAATTTTTCATAATAAAATACTATAATATATTTAATTATAATAAATGTCTAAAAAATATATTATTATAATACTACATAACATTATAACATATTTCTTATAATAAATCTTATAATGTATTCAATTATAATAAACTTATCACAATACATTAATATAATATTAGATTTACTTCTAATATATTTAAATACAATAACGATAATTGCTAAAAGTAATTAATGCACTCCTTGAGCAATTATCAATCCCAGGAATGTCTGAGAATCCCCCCCTTAAGACCTGTGTTCTATATTTCGCTAACACCACCTAAACTTTCCCACAACTTTACCACAACTTTCCCACAACTTTACCACAACTTTCTCATACGTTCCTAGATCCATCCTGTAACACATATATAACAACACTTCTCCGACACCTCAAGACTTGTGCGTCACTTCTTCAATAATTGACAATCACGTCGCGAACTTAAAAGCAAAGGTTTGGTCTCCTCTGTCCCTCTCCTTCCTTCTCTACAGATTCCTTTTATTCTCTTTCGTCTTTCCCCTTCCGTCTCTTCAGCTCTCTGTTGTTTTAAGACGTGTTTATAGTCATGTGGCTGCATAAGACAACCTCAGCCGGTCTCTGGTAGAAGAAAATTATAAACCGAATCCGGTGAGGTTTGGTTTCAAGACACCGGAAAGAATCCGGTGATTAGTAATGGTGTGCTCATGGGGGTCTACATATCATTCACTAACACATAATTATTGAAAGACTGAGGCTACAGGTAATTAAAGAAGACCTCATCGTTAATGAGCGACTAAGAGAGTCGTGTTTAACCAATATTATAGAGTCCGTGGTAGTAGGTTACCAGTGAAGACGTCTATGACATGTTCAGTAGCTTCTCTTAAGTAAAAAACAAAACAAAATCGATACGTTTTTAATCAGTGAACACGAACGCGCTACGCAGCTCACGAACGTTCCATTTACGGCGCAGGCAAAGTTTGAGAAGACCATAAAGTATTTTAAGTCGTAAGTTTAATGGACAGCTGTTACCTCGAGTTTGCAACAAAAATGTCCTGAGCAACCTTGCTACCTGATCCTAGGGACAAAGGGCGCTCTCGGGATCTCAAGTTTGACGATTTAAATCTCCGGGACTCAGAACTTGAGGGAGAGAACAGAGTCGCTGGATCATATGGAAGGGGGTAGAGGTGGATGCTGCTGAACGGATGGGTATTGGTGGATGTGTTGGAGCACATGGATAACGGTGGTTGGGTGGGTTTTATTTGTGAGTAGGAAGGGGGCTGCATAGGTGAGTAAGGGGGTCGAATGGTAGGGGTATTGTGGCCGTGCACTCGGACCAGTTATCCTGGGGTTGGGTTAACGCGATACGCATTCACTCACTCTACTCAAGAGTTAAGCTCACTCGTGACGCAATTGAGGCGAGGTTGTAAGGTGGTGTTTGGGCCAGCTGCTCTGTTCCCTTAATATCCAGAAAAGTGCACAAGTTATGCCCTAATTGCTGAAACTTTACACTGAACTCCTTCAAGAAAGACTCCTTTGTCCGGGAAATGGCCAGAAGTATGTGGAAGAAGTGGTTAGGTTGACCGCCGTTGTAATTTTAGAAATAAAGAATTACGCTTATTCTAGCATGGCAATCTCCAGCTTGAGAAATAATTACGACTTTAATAATGCTCGTTTATTTTATGATTATTCTTAACATTTCGGTGGTCTAACGAATTCACAAGCAAAATATCTTCAGAAAGACTTCTGAAGACACGTTGAAATATACACAAAGAACTATACACAAATAGAACAAAAGGGGAAGAGGTGAAAGCTTCACACACACACAGACCAACGCGAACAAACATATATATTTATCTAAAGAGCAGCAGGGAAATAGAATGCAATAGACGAAGAGGTATTAACAGATAGCTCGAAGGAAAATTTAAAAAGTAAAGATGATAGGAGATTAAGAACGTCGGGATTCAATGCACTCGACGACAGACGGCTGGAAAAGAAAGGGGGGCTCAAGAACTGAAGCTCAATCGTGCAGGCACAAATAGGACGGTAGATCCACAGACTACCCTCCCACCTATCAGTCTCTCCTCATCACCCACCTATCAGTCTCTCCATCACCCACCTATCAGTCTCTCCATCATCCACTCCTTTAAGAATGTGCATTGTCTCCGCCCACAAAGCCTGACGGACTAATACATGATCACTTATTAGTTCTTCCGTTCTCGGGGATCCGGAGGCCTCTGTAGCCAACAAATTGTTTTGTTCGGAAACAATGACAGGTTTTCTCGAAGGCAAAAAGAACGTCATAATTATTACCTCCATATTGTCAACAAAGACGTATCAGAGAAACAAATGTTGATGAATTTATCGACAAATATTTCTATTTATCTATGATGAAATATATATGAAAAATAATGCCGCTCACCACATTGGAGGAAGCGAGGAATAATGATAACGACATAAAAGATTCTAAGAGAAACTGACAAAGATACTGTTCAAAATGAGGCAACAACAGATCGGAGGTGCATAGATGGAAACTAGGGACTGAAATGAGTCACAGATGCCAGAAAGAGTTCTTTCAATACAAAGAGTTGGACATAACTCGAATTGTTAGATAAAGTGGTCCAAGTTAACTCTATACGAAGTTTTTATTTTAAAATTAATACAGGAAAAAAAGAGACAATTTATCAAGCAAATCAAAAGCATTATCCATAAATGGTTGAACATTTACAATTGAGTCAGTGTTCATAAAAAATTTACGACACACTAATTACATAACTAGCCGACCTCTCCTGGTGTTCAAAAAGAGAACGCGATTGACCTGCCTTAAGTTGAACGCCAAATCAAACCCCTCTATTCAATTAGCGTTGAACTGCGTAGCATTGCAGACGCTCTCTGGTCCAGATAAGTGTATTATTTATATGTATTAAGTGTACTGTATGTGTATTCAACGTAGTATATATATTGTGCGTCGTGTCTTCTACTGTATGTAGTTTATGTAATATATATGGATGTAGTGCATCTACGTGAACATAATGTGTGTGAATGCAGTGTTTTTGTATATATATATATATATATATATATATATATATATATATATATATATATAACTATATATATAACTATATATATATATATATATATATATATATATATATATATATATATATATATATATATATATATATATGGTTATATTTATAACCAGTTGCGTTGCTCCTGGGAGTATGGGTTCGAGTCACTTCTGGGGTGTGAGTTTTCAGTTGCATATTGTCCTGGGGACCATTCAGGCTTGTTCGCATATATATATATATATATATATATATATATATATATATATATATATATATATATATATATATATATATATATATATATATATATATTTTGTGTATGTGTTTATGGTTTCTGTGTATGCAGCGAATGTATATATAGCGTGTGTGTGTGTATCACAGTCATGGGAACAAGTATTAAGCGTTGGCAATTTAAAGGCGTTATTTAGGAGTTTTACCTGACATAATAAGCTGGGAACTTGCGAATATAAGAATTATTAAAGAGGTCTGAGGTGTGAGGGTTGAGGGAGTGGGTCGACAATGATGGTCGACAGTGATGGTGTGAGGTGTGAGGGTGAGGGAGTGGGTCTGAGGTGTGGGGTAGAGGGAGTGGGTCGACAGTGATGGTGTGAGGTGTGGGGTAGAGGGAGGGGGTCGACAGTGATGGTGTGAGGTGTGGGGTAGACGGAGTGGGCCGACAGTGATGCTCTGAGGTGTGAGGGTTGAGGGAGTGGGTCGACTGTGATGCTCTGAGGTGTGGGGGTAGAGAGAGTGGGTCGACAGTGATGCTTTGAGGTGTGGGGGTAGAGAGAGTGGGTCGACAGTGATGCTCTGAGGTGTGGGGTAGAGGGAGTGGGTCGAGGGAGATGCTCTGAGGTGTGGGGTAGAGGGAGTGGGTTGAGAGAGATGCTTCAAGATGTTTTGCACTTCGAGAGGAAATTGAATTATCGATTTTCAAGGAAATTTTACCGCTGTTTAAATGGTTGATTTCTTAGATAAAATTTCACTAGGGTTATAATGTATGAAAGTTATATATCGGTAATTTATAACCATTATTATATATATCATTACATATTAATGCATTAAGAATTGAATTAGAGCAAATTATTTTATTTTTATTTGGAATGAACATAACTTCCCAAATAAATGCTTGTTGAAAAGTGTATAATGTGTTCATATGAACATGAACGCCGTTGGTGACCAGCAGAGCGAGATACCCCACCTGCAGTAGTTTTCAACGTACCCATGAAGGAAGTATACATTCTTCCCCCGACCTCTCCCCGGGGATCTGGCTACTCTGGACAGACACGAGAGCCTACACCCTCTCTCTCTCGCCACACCCTTCAACGGATTCACACTCACTAAGGTGTATAAATAGTCTGTTGCCTCCTCTGATGTGGTGTAAATATATAGAATTCTTAAGCTTTGGATGTATCTGTGTTTACTTTGAAGACAACTAAAATAAGAAAAATATATATATCCATTTTGTGTGATAAAATAATTTTTCATCATTAATTTAGCCACGTATCAATGAGTGAGGTTTATTTTTAAGGACTACCTGGAGGCCTATGGCAGATTTGACGGCATCCAGCCTCCGTTTCTCGAGCAAGTTTCTCGAGTTTCTGCTTCAGCAAGCAGTGCTGCTTAAGAAATCAACCAGTGTTGGTTTTCAGATTGTCACGAAAATCCCTCCCTGGACCACCGTGACTGGTCAACAAGTCAGCTCAAGAAACAGTTCTGGACTACACGTAAATAATAGTTGACTGTTTGACAGTGAAAAATCCCATTCTGGAGCCACTGGTTAGTTGCACTTACGACTCAAGACTAATGGTGGTTTGGTTTCCTACAGTCGCGGACAGGGAGCCTATTAGGATTATCGAGGACTTTCCGTAAGGTTAGGCAACCACTGGCCTTCCCAAGGATGCACAACATCACCTGCATTGCTAACATCAGCTCCACCATCACCACCATTGCTAGC